GATGGAGCTGATTGATTGAAATGGGATTGGGATCTTTCTGAGGACTTCCTCCCCACCCCCCAGTATGAGTCTCTTTCTGGGATACAGCCTGTGTGTGTGTGTGTGTGTGTCTGTCTGTCTGTCTAAATCAGAGCCATTTTCAAAGCAGAGAATTAAAAAAGAGTGATGGAGTTTATGTCAGGCTCCTGGCTGTGAGATCCCAGAGGCAGACACTCAGAGCCCTTCCCTTGCCTCCCCTTTGGTTCCAGATCCTGTGACCTTTCCTGGGAATGGATGTGGCCATTCTGGAAACCAGCTACTCTGATTTCTGTGACCTTACTGCCCCACCTTTCTGGGCAGTTTTACAAGAAGGCAGAGAGAATTCAGAGGGAGAAGGGTTGATTTGTGCTCATATTTACCAAACTGTGGAAGGTTTGCAGACAGAGATGGTTATTAGGATTATTTCAGAAAAAAATATTTTTATTTCCTACTGTTTTGCCTAGTTTTAAATTTAAAAAAAAAATGAAGACTAAACCAAATAAAAATGAGAAATTCTTAGGGTTGAAAAGGAATGACGATCTTTTCAGCTTCTAACATTATATAAATTCATCTGTTCATTCAGTAAATTTTCATTTAGAATCTAGTGTGTGCTATGCGGGTTGGATATGTTAATGGAAAGAAATTAGCTTCTTACAATCAATAAAAAAATGCTCATAACTTTTGAGTAATACAGCTAGTGAATTTTAGGAAAGTGGTAAATGCCATCACAGAGGCACCTTCAGGGTGAAGTGCAACCTGAGACACTTCTGTTGAGAATTTTTTCCAGGTGGACTGTCATCTTGCCTGGAACTTCTGTGTGCATGTTTCTGCTTATCAAAGCAGTCGATCTAGTTTAATTTTTATTACATTATTATTATTTTTTGGTGGTACTGAGGATTGAACCCAGGGGTGCTTTCCCACTGAAGACAGGGTCTAAGTTGCTGAGGCCAGATCCTCCTGCTGCCTCCTGAGCCAGTGGGATTACAGGTGTGTACTACCATGCCCCACTTTATACAGTTTAAATGTGCAGATGTTTACTAGTTTAAGTGCTAATTCTTTTTATGAGCTAAGTCCTCTTAGTATTTTGTATACTAATGGCTGAAAACTCAAATCCTGAAAGGGTTGGCTGATGTGGTAATTGAGTGAATTGAGCCGGATGGGAGGTTATATTCTTTGACATATAGAATTTTGCATTGTAGGCATATGGGAATACCCTCCTCTTCCAGAAATATACTATCTTCCATTTTTCTTCAAACAGTCATTTTGACTGTCTTTTGATTTCCCATTTGTGATAGTAATATAGGCCCAAGAAACATTGCACTCTCTTTTTACTAAAAGAAAAAATGTGTGTGTGTGTGTGTATGTGTGTGTATGATGATAGATGAATGGCATCAGGTTAGGAATACAGTAGAAATTGGCAGAGACTATGGCAAATTGTGAACATTTGTCTTATTGAAATGGGCACCCAAATATTTCTGCATACCCATATAACCCCAGAGTTGCCAGGTCCAATAACGTTTCAAGGTGAACAGGAAATTTATCCAAATAACCATCTGTTTTGTAAAATATTGGTAAATTTTACAAAGAAAAAAGATATAAAGGTGAAACAAAACAATTTACTGGCTAAACCTGGCTCTTAGACAGCCTGTTTACAATGTTGTTATTGGATCTTACTTTCCCTTTGAGGAGCTACTTAGAGTAAGTGCCTTGCTTCAGTATTTCATTTGTTTGTCATGTTTATTCATACAAAAAATATATTGTGCTACAACCATGAGTGTGTTAGACACTGGGGTTGAGCAATAAATATGACCAAGATCTTCCCCCCAAGAGAACTTGGTATCATTTCTCTCTGTCATTATCCCCAGGTTGAACACCCCCTTCCACAAACCTACCTTCCTGAGATCTCATTACAGAGAGCTTCTCCCTCCTCTACTCCTAGAGCCCTCTTGTGAAGGTGCTCTAGGGTTAAGAAGCACTCTGGAGGTCTCCTGTTCCATGCTGGATTCCACCCACCTTGTCTCTCCTGTCCACAGGTAGAATATTACCGTCTCCAAAATCTTTGCACCTGGTAGTTTCTCCATTGCTAGAATTCTGTCACTATTGCTTATCTGACTAACTGCCTCTCTTGCTCCTAGTATGTGGTCATCCATTTAAAAGCAAATGCCCTATCTTCTCTTTGTATCTCTGGGCCCTGAACCATTCCTGATGTCTAATAGGTGTTTGGTAAGTCTTGTTGGAGTACATTGAAATGAAAAAGAGTTTGACTTGTACATTTCCTGATCTTTTTTTTTTTTTTTTTTTTGCTGGGGATTGAACTCAGGGGCATTCAACCACTGAGCCGCATCCCCAGCCCTATTTTGTATTTTATTTAGAGACAAGGTCTCACTGAGTTGCTTAGCGCCTCGCCATTGCTGAGGCTGGCTTTGAACTCTGGATCCTCCTGCCTTAGCCTCCAGAGCCGCTGGGATTACAGTGTTTGCTACCTTACCCAGCAGTACCCTGTCTTTTTGTTGATGTTTTGGTCTATTTACCCAGGACACACTGAGTCTCTGAGTTGAGGGGAACTAAAAACTCTTGGGCAGTACCAGGTACACTATTTTAATCTGGATTGGCAGCATTTTGTTCTGTTTTACATCCCCTCTTTACTCTTACCACTATTCAGTTTAATCCTATTAAAATTCATAATTTCATCCATTTAAACTCTGTGAATATCAGTCTTCCAGCATATTAGCACTCCTTCCTCAATACAGGTATTTTTATAATCTTGATAAGCATACATATTAGTTTCACTTAAATCTTTGATAAAAATATTGGACAAAGCAAAGATAATATTGGAAAGCTGTGACATACAGAGGAGATCTCAGTCCAAGGAGGCATTGATTTATTACCCACCACTCTTTGTGTTTGCTACAGATCCATCTTAGGCTATCTTCTGGGCAAGGAGATTGCAGGAGATTTTGATAAATGTCTTTGTTAAAATAAAGATGTGATCTATCTATCACACTCCTGCTTCTATTAAATTAGGAGGTTCATCAGTTAAGTCCTCTTTTTGTGAACCCCTGTTGGCTCCCAGAATCAGATCTTCTTTTTTTCGATTCTTGCAAACGGGATATGTCCTAAAAATTTGTTAGCATTTTGTCTCAAGGTAACTTGACTGAAATTTGAAGAATTCATTCTTCATCATTTTAGACTTTTTAATAGATCTTGCCATTTTTATAATTAGCATGGTGAGATGCATTTTTGCCCACACATGATCTTTGAATACTTTTCTGGTTATTTCCTCACGAAAATCCCTAGAAATGAAAATTTTTGTCAAAGAGTATACACTTTTTAAAGGCTTTGATGCAAATTGCCTGTCAGAGATCCAATTTGGATACCCAGAAAATGCCTGTGAGATGCTGTTTTCTCTCGTCATCATCACTGATATGAATGAATTTTAAATGGATAGTTTAGTTGTTCTAGAATGTTCAGTGAGGAATCAGCCTCAGGAGGATGGACTTATAGGAACTGTATCCAACTCTTTGAGAACCACACCTTGGTCTTACCTTCTTACATCTACAGACTGGAGCTTTCTGATTTCTGGCAACTTTGACACTACATGTGGGGTCCTCCTTCCTTGGAATGTGGTGCTGTTCTTGCTTTATTTGAACCTGCCTGTTTCCCTAGTTTACTGCCCATTCCTCTTCCCCTTGTTTGGATTATTTCCCCCCATGCTTCTGTAGAAAGGGTGCTGGTGTGTGCAGGCTCATGGATCTGCCTACACACAGCTGGGTCCAACCTTACATCAATGCCCTTAGTTGAATCCCATATAACAGTCCATGTTTTCCAGGTTTGGTTTTGAATTATGGTTACTTTGTTGGGAGTGGGAGTGAAGGAAGAGTTGATTAGTAACTATGACATTTGGATTCATATGCCCAAATAAAGCTTGAGATGATTAAAATTCTGTAGGTGAAAGCTGTGCATGAATCAAGTCAAGTATTTCGAATATGCATATGTCATCTCTAGAGCTGACTTGTGCAGTCTGGGTGGTTTTGGCAAAGAGGAGTTATTTCTGTAAGAGAAGAAGATCAAGGGCATGTGAAGAATGACCTAGGGTTACTTCTTTTGTAAGATGGACTGGAGACTAAGGGTGTGTATGTTCCTCTAAAACATCTAGACCCTGACCAGTGCATTTTTTTCTATAATCCCATAGACTCAATCATATGTTATGTTACTAAATTTAAAACAACCTTCAGATATCTCTGTTCTGCATTTCTGTCTCATGAAAATATTTTTTTTTTATGATGTTCAATAACTGACTTCCCTTCTCTATGTGGTTCTCTTCTTGTTTCTTTGTCATAGTCTTAATAATCAGATTCTGAGATCTGGGAATCTGCATTAAAAACATCTAGTACAGATTTCTGAAACATTATGGTTTTGCTCATGTTTTTTATTTCAGCTGCAGCTGATAATAGCATGTAATGCCCCCAAGATCCCCCTGTGGGATAGTAATTAGATGATTCTGTCACATGCATAATATGGAAATGTGGTTCCTGGTGGCACCATAGGTGAGAGAACACATTCATGACTGGTTGCAGTGAATGTGGCACAGCACTGTGAACTTGCATTTGAACACTTGGCCACTTTGGAGTAGCTGGCAGTGAGAACAAGAATATTATGAGAGGGGTTCATATCATCCACCAGGTGAAGGAAAACAGGTTGAGCACCTGCTTTTGCTGCCTCAGAGAGGCAAAAGTTTCCTGAAGTGACATTGTATTATAAATGCATTGATTTCTGCAGATAGGACAATTAATTTGGAGATAGTAAAAAAAGTGGTTCATACTCAAATCTATCAAATAATGAAATGTTGGGAGTCATTTAAAAATAATTACTCAAATAGCTTATCTGTATAAATGATAGAGTCTGTCTGCTTTCTTTGTGCTTGTGTTGTGTTTGAAGTTAGTACAGGTTTTTATTTTTTAATTTAATTTTTTTTTTTACAGGCTAAACATATTTTTGACTGGCATGAACCCATTCTACTTTCACGCAGTAAATGTAATTTTACACTGCTTAGTGACCCTCGTGCTGATGTACACCTGTGATAAAACCGTCTTCAAGAATCGTGGACTTGCTTTTGTTACGGCATTACTTTTTGCTGTGCATCCTGTTCACACAGAGGCGGTGAGTATAATTGGAACTCAATGAAATAACAACCAAAACAAATGTATTTGTATGTATCAGCTTAAATGATCTTTTTTTTTCTTCCTTTCAAAACCAGGTGAATTCAAAGCTCTACTGAAGTGTTTATCTCTATATAAAAATCATTCTGCTTGACCACTTTTCTTTTTGAATTTTCAAATAGACTTTTTTTGCACCTTGAGGATTTAACTGCTTTTTAAAATAGCCACTATTATTAGTCCAAGTACTAGTACATGGTTAGTTTTTTTATTTGCAGAAAATTTAAATCCTAATGTGTCTTTAAACAGCAAGGGGCATGTTGAGATACTTGTCATGCTAAGTCATTATTCCTGCCCTATATTTCTGTTTTACTTTTGCTCCCTGTGCTTTATAATATTTGTGAAGCAGAACTTTAAGAGCTGAAGGAGGACCAAAAACAGTTAGAGTGACATCCTTAATGTTAGAAAGAGACTTAGGAGGCTTACCAATTGTTTTCCAAGTTATTTAATAAGGGGTGTAGTTATTTTGTAGTTGTTGAAAAATTTTGTTTTGAAATTATTGATAGTTTAGATCTATGGCACCTTTAAAATATTTACTTAATTATGCACCGTTTGAGGTGGCATTGTTAAACTCCCATACATAGTTTATTTCATGTGCATTGCTGGAGGCAGAGGATGTCTTTCCAAGAGTACATGGCCCCACAGTTTTTTTAAAAGAGTCTTTTGCAGAGCCTTAGCTGGCATCCAGACACTTTCCCAAAGTCGATCTGTGTAAGAACACACCAACAGGGAAGATTGCACATTGGTTCTCTTTTCTTAACTTATTCTCTCACCTGCCCTTCTCTCATTTAGACAAAAATAAGAGCTAGGTGTAGGAGCATGTCTATAATCCCAGTGGCTGGGGAGGCTGAGGCAGGAAGATTTCAAGTTCAAAGCCAGCTTCCACAATTTAGCGAGTCCCTAAGCAACTTAGTGAGACCCTGTCTCAAAATAAAAAAAAATTAAAAAGGGCTGGGGATGTGGCTCAATAGTTAAGCACCCTGAGTTCAATCCCTGGTACCAAAAAGGAAAACAAACAAACAAAAAACCCCCAAATCAGGAATACTGTCATACATCAAAATCTACCATGCCTGAGGCATACATACCCCGAGTTTCCTTCTAAAGGAACAGATCTATTGGGGTCAGGAGGCTTCCTTCAATTAATACATGATACATTGAGGAAAGAACTTGTGATCTCTTCCTGTCTTATATGTTTAGTCAGCTTTTTCGCTGCTGCAACTAAAAGACCTGACATGAACAATTTTGGAAGAATAAAAATTTATTTATGGGTTCACAGTTTCAGAGGTCTCAATCCATAGACAGCAGGCTCCATTCCTAAGGGCTTGAGGTGAGGCAGAAGAATGTTGTGAAGGGAAGCAGGTCACATGATGATCAGAGAGCAGAGAGTGAGATCTCCACTTGCCAGATACAAAAATATATCCCAAAGCCCCTCCCCCAATGCCCCATCTCCTCTAGCCACACCCCACCTGCCTTCAATTAATCCCATTAGGTGATTAATTCACTGGGTTAAGGCTAATCATTTCTCTAAACCTTGCATTGTCTCACACATGAGCTTTTTTAAACACTATATATATATATTTTGTTGTTGTTGTTGTTTGTGGTGGTGGTGGTTTTGGTGGTGGTGGTGGACCTTTATTTATTTATATGCAGTGCTATAAGAGTCAAACCCAGTGCCTCACACATGTTAGGCAAGTGCTGTACCACTGAGCTACAATCTCAGCCCACACATGAGCTTTTGGGGGACACCTCACATCCAAACCATAATGTGTATTTCTATGAAGAATACAACATGGTATTAGAAATACGGATTGGTGGCTCCTGTTGATGTTCTAAGTTCAGAAGTTCAATAATTGTAGAGATGCACAGTAGTATGTTTATTTGAACTGACCTAAGAAATATGATTTGACTAATTGGTTTGATACTGAGAATTGATTTGGGCAATCAGGTTGTATGATGGCTATTTTCCACAAACAGAATTCTAAACCTTTAAGCCCAAGGTTTTGATAAACTTGTATGTGTGTATACGCATACACACACACACACACACACACAGACTGATAAAAATCATCATATAAAAAATGATATTGTTTAGGTAATTTTCCCTACTCTGAGTACAGTAGACTGGACAAGATGCCTGTAAGTGAAAGAGTGTGAGGTATAAGACATGGTCCTTTAGTAACTCTTGGTAGAGAATTTTTGTTTTACTTCTACAAAACTCTGAAAGTAAATGGCTGTAATGCCAGTTAACTCTAATGATGGATGTTTAAATTATTTGCTTTTGACCAAATTAGAGGAGGACCTGGCTGATTTGTCAGCTGGTAGATCATTAAAAAATTGTGTAAGATGATAGATCACTTTGTGATAAGTGCTGGTAACTTCAGAGTTTCAAGAATTAAATCATTGCTATAACACGGATACTTCATTCTCATTTATGTGGGTAATCTATATAAAAGTGATAGGAGGAATAGAATTGGTGCTTCATGCTGTCTCATTGTTCTAAACAAAAGGTAATAAGATTCAGCCACAGATAGCTAAACACATAATTGAAACTTGCTGCACTTATCAAAATATAAGCTTTTACATTTAATAATTATCATGTTTTCTATTTTAGTTGTGATATATGAAACAATTATGAATTAATAATATTGGATAAAGTAATACAGAGTTAAAATTTTAACCTTTAGAGGCTTTTGGCCATATGGAATTTAAAAAATCAATTCAATTATGGGTTGGGGGACACAGCTCAGTGGTGAAGTGCCAGCCTAGAATGTACAAGGTCCTGGGCCTGAGTTCAATCCCTAGCACTGCCAAAAATTTTTTTTAAAAATTAAGTATGAATTTTTATTACAGAGAGATAAGATAATGAAATATTTTTAAGCATAAGTATGTAATACATTTAAAATGTTGAGGGGGACGTAAAATGGAAGTATAAGTTCAAGGAGACAGGGTGTCAAATGTCTGCTATTCAAAGGAGAGCCTGTATGTGTTCCTGTAAAGGCCAGAGAAAGGGCTTTGAGTTGCTTTCGTGTCCACATTCCACTGGGTACATTTAGAGCAGTAGCAAGATCTTATTTTAGAACGCCAGCATGACAGACTTTAGACGCAAACTTAATGAGATGAGAGAGATACCTGAATTTTAATGTTCTTTTTGGTCCTAACATGAAGAAAAATAATCAAACACTTTCAATCCTAGCCATTTAAAATATACAGTGCTGTTTCAGTGTCATGTTTTAATTTAAGACCACAGACGAATATTTTGTTTCTGACAAATAGTTTTTAAAGTACAGCTGAAAATCTATACTTAAAGTGTCTTGGAGTCAATTATCACAGGAAAGATCAAACAAGTAGGGTAACTGCAGATGTAATTCAATGGTTTCAGAGGGAAAGCAGAAAGCATGGGCAACTTGGGGCAGTGATCATGAGCTGATAGTGTTTAGGCTGGATTTGAAGCAAACAGGCAAATCCTATTAGCAAAATGACCTTTAAGAAGGGTTTCAACAGGCTTTTGAGCTAATAAAAATACAATCCATAGTAACACAATTAAAGGTGCGAAGGAGTCAAGATGTGGACAATGTTAGGGAAGACATTTACATTTGCAAGAAGATGAGGGAGGTATAGAGAAGAAGGGAAAAAATTTGACCTACAAAACAATTTGTACTGCAAAGTAAAATAGAGACTGCTATTTCATTATAGATTTTAGAGAAATAGAAAGAAAGATGTGCTTGACAGAAGATATGGTGATAAATTATTTAAAATAATAGAAGACCTTGTTGTGGTGGGGGAAGGGAATTACTGGGAAGTTTCTCCCTTTTGTTAAAAAAGAAAAAAAGTTAGACCAGACCATACGTTATCTTGAACAGGATAGGAAATTTAAAATTTTGGGATAGGATTCAGTTTAAACACATTGATATGATCATATATAAACATGCTGATATGATTAAAGGCTTCCTTTATTCATTGTGAGATCATCAAATAGCTGATGAGTATGTGCTTGGTGTAGGGCTGCCTTCTCTATGCTGGGGGAATAAGTGAATGGACAGTAGGGACCCCATCCACAGGTTGATGTTCACCAAGCTCATAGGAAAGCAAAAAAAAAAAAAAAAGGCACATAAATAGATACAAGACAAAGCAACATGTAATAACACAAGAACCCTATCGGAAAGAAGCATTATTTCCAATATAAATATATAGGGACAAATTTATTTGTTTACTCACTCTTTCAACAAACATTGGAGTGCCTATAATACACTGCCTATTGAATAGACACTCTGCTGGACAAAAAAAAAAAAAAAAATTAGAGGCAGACTTACTTCACTTTAGTCCCTGAGATTCTTGGAAATGTTTCCTGACATTGTATTTCTTGGGAAATACGATGTTTTTCTGAATCCTGAATCATAAGAAAAATCAACAGAGAAATTAGGAAAATTACAATTGTCTTCTGAGAAATCCCCATCATCACAGAGACTTTACTGGTTTGAAGGAATGCACTTAAATTAACTGGAAGCAAGAGGAGAAAAAGCCGATACATGGAGTTCCAAGGTCAAGGCCATTTCCAGAAGGGGCCAAGATGACAGAGGAGAAAGTTAGTTGTGTTCTGATTAGATCAGGCTGGCATGTAGCTGTTACCACATACTAAGTATGTGTTCCTGGCCCTGATGCTAATGGAACTCAGTCTTACAAATAAAATAAACATTAATAACTCTATAAAATAGCATACTTTATAATATGAGTGGTGTTCAAAAAATACCAAGTTTTGAGAGCAAATTAAGTCCTAGTTAGAATTCTCACACATGATTCTATTACTCTTGCTAGGAGATCTGTATTTTACATTATAGGTTGAGCATCCCTAATCCCAAATTCCCAGTTCCCAAATGTTCCAACTCTGACACTTTTTGAGTGCTAATATGATGCTGAAAGTGGAAAATTCCACACCAGACCTCATGA